CCCCAAAACCCCAAAACCCCAAAACCCCGCCTGAGAATTCGAAGTAAAAATTTAAGTTAAGTTTGACAGTAAAATGTTTAGAGTGCTACGTAAGTGTTTTAAAGAGTCATCCATATTTTAATAAAAATTTAAAGTCTAATTTAATAAGATTGACACTCGATTCGCAAACATATTCTTATGGAATCTGAATAAATTTAGTGCTAACACTAAGATACACAATAACTCCACTCTACTCAGCTAAATAAACAACTATCAATCCCTATCGCCTAGGGAGTAATATACGAAGATCAAAACTTTATAAGTTTGCAAATCTTTTTCAAACAAATCAGCGGTCACAAGTACATGTTCTTGGACAATGATAAAAATGTATGCAAAATGAGCAATTAGCAAGAAATCGAATTTTTCTCACTAAAATGCCCGCAAGCGCTTTAAGCATTTGTTCCTTAATATAAGGGTAACTTCTTCCTCAGACAGGGAGTCGACAAACTTGACTTGGAAGAAGAGTTTGACATCAGCAGATATTGCCCTACTACCTCAGTACTAAGTAAGAGTTCTTCTTCAAGTAGCATAGACTCAAGTTTCTCGATAAAAGATTTGCAACAATTGCTGGAAGATGAAAGCTAAAATAACATTGCCTAGGAGATCTTGCACAAGTTCCTCAACCCAATTTCCAGTACTCCATTAAATGAATATACTGCTGATAATTTAATTTCCTCACAAATATTAAATAAGCCGGTACCTAACTCAGATTCAATTCATTCTAAAGAACTTCAAATTCATCTGGGAACTGAATAAAATCAGTTGACTTTATCAAACTCCGGCTAAGTTGAGGAGTAGAAAAAATGGAAGAAAAACTAGATCACACCAGAAGAGTACAAAATGAAAATAGAGAAAACTTTGGACGAGCTCGTAAGTAAACAAGCATGGCTCGGAAGACTTCTAAAGAAAACACACAAGATCAATTTTTACGACAAACGTAAATTATTCTACATTGTCTTATTCTTGAAATATAGCTTTTATATGTTTGGAAAATCTTACATCCCCTTATAAGCATCCCTGCATGATGGATTTGAAAATAGGCTCTGTCGCCTATAATCCTAAAAAATCTCAAAAGCAGCAGCTTAAAATCCTTAACTCAACATCAGGTTGTTTCAGTTTTAGAATAAGTGGGATGGAGGTGTATAAGACAATTGATAAAAGGATAATATTCAGAAATAAGTATTGGGGTAGATCCATAAAGAGAGATGAAATCCATGATTCTCTAGGCATGTTTTTCTATAATGGTAAGTTATTAAAATATAAATATTAATCGTGAGAGAATCTAACACTGAAACATATAGGATGCTGTATCAGACTGAATGTGGTGGAGGAATTTATTTAGAGAATCAAAGAGCTAAAGAAAGTTGTCCTTGAATGCAAAGGCTTTAAGTTCCATTCCTCAAGTCTTCTCTTGGTTTATGACGGCTACTTGGCTGATCGCTACTTCCAAACTAACTGTGAGAACCCAGAACATCAAAGATTCGTAAACACATTCAAAAAGAGTACTTCAAGCAAGCAGGCGAACATTGACTCAACTACCTCCTCCAGAACCTCCTACGTTGATCTCAGAATAATTGACTTCGCTAATTTCGAGTACTTGCCAGGCATTGAGGCTCCTGATGAGGACATGATCAAAGGATTAGATAACTTAGTGGGCATTTTCCAGAAGCTACTAGAGTCGCCCCAGATTGTCTTAAAGTCATGATAATCTAAACTATTATTTCTAAATCATACATTATATCATAACCAGTATTAATTTTTTGAATTAAAACATTGAAAACGTGTCACTCTCTTTCGCAATATTTGTATTATGGGGTTTTGGGGTTTTGGGG